GAAAAAGCTTTTCTCTGCATAGTCAATCCCGGACTTCCAAAAGTCTTTAACATTGACTTCCATACCATAAGAGCATTGCAGGAGCATGACTATTTGCCTCCCCTTTTGTGAGATGCCTTCAGTGAGCATTTGAGTTACAGTCTCCAGGTTTTCCATGCAACTGCAGAGTTAAAAAGAATATAATAAAAAGGCTTACAAATACAAAACCCAAGAATGATTTGACTTTGGCCTTAAGAAAAGCATAAAGTACTGCAAGACTCATTAAATAACAAGAATAATCAACCAATGCAAGCTTTAGATCAGCCGTTGAGGGATGACAGGTAGAAATAGGAAAGTCATGTTACCTCTGGCTAGGTCGTTAATGAAACCATTGCTAGACCACACTGTCTAGTCCAAGCAACTGCTTGAAAAAGAATTTGGAAAAGAGCTACAAGAATGATATAAGAACAAGAAAATATGCCTTGTAGGAAGACACTAGATAAGCTATTTAGAGCAGAATAAATGATGCTATGAATCCTATCTGGCTTTAAAATCACTAAATGTCTGTGGCCTAAAGACAAAGCAGCGAATTCCTCACCACCTCATTAGACCAAGAGCTACACTGAGTGAAATCAGCTGAATGCCGGCCCTGGAGGCCTCTCTGTGCTCCCACCGTGGGGAGCAGACTGGAAATGTTTCTCAGATATTGTAAATATCAGATGGGCAAAAGTATTTGCTCAGCAGAACATAGATTTCATCCATTGATGAGGTGACAGAAAATGGTGAGGTTTACTCAGAGCCCTTTGAAAAATGCTGGCTATCGGAGGCTTGTAGGAGCTAGTTGTGGATGATTACAGGAGCAATTAAAGAAGGGCATTTAGTACAACTTACATTTAAAGTGAGGTATTTAGGCCAGTAACAGGGCAAAATAACATGCTTTTGATTATTCTTTCAGAAAGAATGTAGTTAAGCTGCAGGATAAGTTTGAGGTAGCAAATCAATTTGGCTGTAATCAAATCTTGTTTGTCACGAAGGAGGAAATGGGGGAACATGCCATGAGCAACATGTGACTCAATTTCCTGGAGATGACCCTCACATGTGGAAGTGAAGAATGGCTCAGGCTTGAGTCACGGGGCACTTGCAGACCCAGGGTGAGCCAAGGGTCCTGTATCACCAGCTCTTATCTGCCCTGGGTGTCTTGGCCACACAATGTTATAGCATTGCATTCAGTCAAAGCAAAGGGAATGTTTCCAAGGAGGAATGCTACAGGGATAGCCTCCCAGCTAAAGCGGCAAACAGTCATTAGTGCTCAGCTCAGTTGATTGTCATTCCTGGCCTGAACGATGGGGCTGTATCATTAAGGTCTTTCTTACCCTTTGTTTGACCAGCTTCCTTCGGTGTGTGCCAGACTGTAGCATCACTAGGACTTCCATTTGCAGATTTCCTGAGTGTTCCCAGCTTCAGCTGCAGCTGTGTAACATGTCCTGAAGATAGGTCCACAGCAGCTAAAATAAAGTTCCCAGACACTGACCCAACCAAAATCAAAGCAGCATGTGAGAGATTAATCCCTGGCAGCCCTATCCCTATTTTCTTCACCTGGATCAACCAAAGAAAGATATTTCTGAACACAAATATAACCCACAGTAGAATTCATAAATGCACCTGAAGCACTTAGAAGGTGTTACAAAAATGCACTGCCCACATCTACTTTGCTTTCCTTTTGAATATTCAAAGCTGCTATTTCTTAAAGCCTGGGATATGTAGTTTCAGTTCAGTTAGATGACCGACTGTTATGGGAACCAAAGGGAATCAGAGACCTAAATATTTTTGAGACATGTTTGAGTTTCAGTCCCTGGTTGGAATGCAACAGGGATCCTCACATTTCAGCCATAGAAACCCTTATCTAGGAGCTATGCGGTACAAAAAGAAGACAATTTATAAACAAGATTTTTAAAATTGCTCTTCTCCAAACAAAGTCCTACAAAAAGACTCCTGTCCTCCCTGGGGTAAGCTCCAGAGAGCAGAAGACATCTGTGAAGGGGAGTGGGATTCCCAGTTCATTATGAAAGCATTCACAAAACTACATGAAGGAAGGAAGGAAAATGTTACCCTGCAAGCAAACATATTTTCAGCATCCCCAGGGATATCAGCTGCTGGAGAACACACTACATTCAGTATATCGATAACTTCATTTCACAGAAGTCACTCTGAAAGGTGCCAGAGGAAGGAACCTGAGGTTCCTGAGACACCCTGACATTTACTGCAGTCCACAGACAATGCATTTGCTCTTGAAGATACGGTCTGGACTTGAGTCATGCCTTGCAAAGATGATTACTCTATCAGAGAGGGAGTAAACCCCCTGGGGAAATCATTGACTGGTGCCCCCTTCTGAGGAGTTCAACTTAAATCTCAAATCTATGCTGAGGAAAACACAGAACACTCCCACCACCCCACCCCCAGATAAACTCTTAATTGCAGGTGGACTTTATTCCTTAAACAAATTACTTGACAATTAGTCTGGTAAAGAACACAGAGAAAATTGGGAATGAATGGTTCTGGCATTGCTGAAAATGTTCTGATTTTATAGATTGATGTTGCAGCAGATTTAGGGCATATTCACAAGGGAGAAGGGGTGTCCGCTTCTTCATGCGGTGAGGAAAAGGGGATTCAGTTCTCACCTCCCTGGGAGCTGCTCTAGTCCTCCAAGGTGACACTGTGGTTTCAGTCCCCCTGACTGAGTATGGAGCAGTTCACCCATTATTTGGCCAATAAGGTGTATGTTCCTTTGTGAATCTGAATCCTTCCCCTTTCCAAATGTCCTGGACATGATTAAGCTGCTCCATGTCAAGGCAAAATATTTCACCCTACAACTGAAAGTTTTGTTCAACGAGAAACTGGAAAAATACATACATATGTGTATTTTATACATAAAATACATGCGTTTTGTGTGTGTGCATATGTATTTTAAAGACAAAAATATTGTTTAGTACTTCTCATTACTAGTAAATAACCCTCCTTAGTATTAGTGTATTTAACACTGATCAGAACCAGTTATAGTTTCATATAGAGCTTCACCCAACAAATACATGCAGGAGGAAAGAATTTTGGTTTGAAGTAGTGTTATGAAACTGGACATAAGCTGAAGCCAGGAGTTTAAAACAGCATTGCTCCCTCTTGAGTAAGGCCTGTATGAACAAGCACCTTTGGAAGCGAAAGGAAAGCTATAAGGCACACATGTAAAGAGCTTTCTATCTAGAAATGAAAAATTTGGTCAAGTGTCTACCCATCCCTTAAAACAGTAAAAACCCAAAACTTCCATCTAAACTCCACTGCAGCTGACCAAAAACTGTCCTTTTGTCCATCTTCTGATTTTACCCTCTTTCTTACCTGGAAAAGAAACAGACTTGGTCTTTTCTACTGCCAGCAGGCCAATCAGAATTGCAGTTGTTCTTATACTGGTAGCCATTAGTGTTAAGTAACATGCATCTGGTACATATAATAATAGTGAACAGACAAATGCACAAACTTAATACTCAGAGCTTGCTGACAAGGGCAGAAGATGGCCCTTGTGAAAGTTTGAGGCTCGACACAGACTAATTGGCCCAAAAAAATGAGAAAGCCTTTCCATCCAGGCAGGTGCTACCGTCTCTGCTTGCTGTCTTGCTCCTGGCATCTCTCTCCAAAGCAGCTGGACCTTAATTTGCTGGCAGGAAGGCACTAGAATAAATAGATGAGTTCTCCCATGTGGTATCACATGAGACATTGCCTAAGCTATTGTGTATATTCTGGCTAATGGTTTCACAGTCATTTGGTTCTGCAAGCACTTCTTCACAGGCATGGAAAAATTCCCCATGATATGCACATCCACTCTCCTGTACAACAGCTAAGGGCGTCTGAGCTATTGCATCCTAGTTTGGTGTCATACCAGAGACTTATGTGTTGCTTTGCGCTATTAATGAAGGATAAGAGATTCTTGGGGGGCAGCAGACAGTTCGCGTCCCCTTTCCGTCAGTGCAGACCGTGAATGTTGCTGTTGTGTGGCTGAAGAGCTCTTCCAAGGCAAAATTCAGTCCCACAGAATCACCAGGGCTTTGCTGCGAGCAAATGAAATACAATGAGGGAAGAGTTTGGCAAAGACTGATCATTGACAGGTGGATCTGGGGCAACCTGGGCAACAAGAATATCAACCAAAAATGTAATATTGTCCCCAGGAACACAAACTAATCACTCATTTAAAAACAACCAGTTCATGGTCCACACCCCAGATTCAGACCACACAATAGCTCCATCTAGCACCTTGCCTTTCTGCTGTGGCCTTCAAGCAGGACAGCATGTTTCAGAGCACTGTGTTGAAGCCCACTAGCAAAATCCCCAGGCACCCAGACCCGCGACAAAGCCCTGGAGGTGACCCAAAATAGTTACTCAAACTCTAGCAAGCAATACCCAGCTAATTTATGATCTAAATAACATTTTAAAAGCAGTGTTTTACACATCCTGCACTTGGTTAAAACCACCCAGTGAAAGGAGGAAAACATCTGCCCCGTTGTATAGTCTGACACAACCCAGACTGGAGCTAAATGAGAACCAGGACTGTGCAAGTATTCAGTCACATTTTATTGCAGTCCCCACTGCACTTGGTGTTAAAGGCCATGCCATTTCAGTGCTTAATCAATATATCAATATGGCCAGTAAATGGCAAGGAGAGTTCATATTTATCTTGTTACTCCAAGACTGCTCATAAAGCTGGGTTCACAAGCTTGTAAAGGAGCCCGCATTACCCCTGGTGACTGGGAAGGAATTCTGCATTGGCTTCCCATAGGCTTGGCCACTAAGAGAACAGGAAAAGATAGTAAGAGGGTAAGTAAAAGTAAACTGAGATAAAGCCAAGAGTAAGGCCTACAAATCTAGTAGAGCAATCTCAGCTCATAAATACGACCTACCAAGTGGACACGCTGAGCAGCGTTTTTGCCTGACAGAGGTGGACTGATAAACACTTAGTGTAAAAATACCATGATATTTTCACAGGCAAAAGCCATTTATTTTGACATCTGTTTTTCCTGCATGAAAGTGTGGTGGAAATTTCAACACCAATACATTAGTCCAGACATCGCTGTTTCAAGAGCCAGTGATTATTTGAATTGTCAGTGTGAGCCATTTGGTCCCCACTGCATTCAGAGCCAGGAATCCAAAGACAGCAGTTTGCCTGTTGCTGAAGTTTAGCCAACAAGACAGTTTTGCTGGGATGGTAGCTGTAAACTTAGAGAGGTGATGTGGACAGGAAGGATATCTTCTGATGATGAGATAGTTTAGAACAGTTGACAAGAAGAAAGAAAACACAAAGTTTGATGGGGAACAAAAAAAGGAAAAGAAAAAGGCAAAGGCAAAGGAAAAGGAAAAGAAAAAGGCAAAGGAAAAAGAAAAGAAAAAGAATAAGAAAAGAAAAAAAAAGAAAAAGAAAAAGAAAAAGAAAAAGAAAAAGAAAAAGAAAAAGAAAAAGAAAAAAGAAAAAGAAAAAGAAAAAGAAAAAGAAAAATAAAAAGAAAAAAAGAGAAAAAGGAAAAAAGACTGATGCCATGCAGAAATTCACATCAGGACCCATGAGAGGCACCATACTAAAAAGAGAATTAAAATGTGATGTGCAAGTTGGGTAGACTCATGGTGTATTTTTCCAAAAGCCCTTGCATTTCTTAGCCTTTGTGTGTGTGAGTAGTAATGGTAGGACACCACCAGCCTCTTACTCTCGCTCAGCATTTCCCAGTGGTCACCAAGAGCCAAACTGGACTGCACAAACTATCAATAACTATTCAGTGTGTGGCTCCACAGACCTGTTGCAAGATATCCACTGTGACTTCATGGACCACAGAGCACAAATAATAGTTTAGGAGCTGTTGCAGCATAGCACACAGGAGATGGACTGGACCTCTATCCAAACAGCTTATCTCCAAACCATATTAACTGCTGGAACAAGACAGCAATTTGTATCTGCACCAGGGCTTTTTGCCAGTGTAGTTCTGTCAGTCAGGTGCTGCCAAGAGATGGGCCAGCAACGCTTCACAGCAGCCTGAGCCTGGACAGAGTAAATTTCAGTGTGACACCTAAGTTTTTGAAACACTGAATACCTGAGCTGATCTTTTGCAAGCAGGGCCCAGCTCAGTTTGCCTGGCTCAGGGTTAGCCAGCATGAGAGGCAAAGCTGGCTAACTACGTCAGTACTGACGTATGGCAAATGTCTCTTCACATTCATCACACGCATTACATCACTTGCACCTCCGTGCACCCAACGGCCACGCAGTTGCCATATGAGCATCCTGCTTTGGAGGTGCTCTGCAGACTCCATACAAATTCAACCAAGGACTGCCAGTGCAACTGATGATCATGTGCAGTCCCAAACACCACCGCTGCCAGCTGAGCACTGCATGGCTAAGGCATCACAGCTGGAAAATTGCCATCAGCTGAAGAGTACATCTTCCCACATTCGGTCCTTGAGCAGAGTAAAATCAACAGGACAGGTCTGGCTTGTGCACTTCTTGGCATATGGGCAGGTTGAAGCCTGGGCAAGGTTGCAACTGGAAAAAAACTTCACACCTTGCAGCTGACTCTGGTAAGCTGTGCAGTACCACCTGTGGCCCCACTGCTTCTGAGAAGGGAGCTAAGAAAAGCAAGTGTATTGTCAGTAGATTTATACAGTTCATACCTCTACTGGGAC